GTGCCAAACTTTAATAAGGTGTTTTATTCATGATCGATCCTTAATACAGATCTTTACCCTCACTCAGCATTCGATAGAGAGTTTTACTCATGATCATCCCTTAATATGAAGCTTCACCTAGTCTTAACCTTTGATATGAGTTTCACTCTGTTGTTTTATATTTTTGAGCTAGTTGTTTTCTCCTTTGAAATTTATATAATATATGAGAAATTTAATATACAAGATAAAATCACAAGAATAGAGCCTCATTAAAAAATAGGGTTAAATAAGTTTTTGGTCTTTTTAAAAATTGCGAATTTTGATTGAGCATACACATGGAACTGCCAATGTGGCAAAAAAATGATGACGTGAATGTCACGTGACAATTTCTTCCAATTTTTATTTATTTTTATATTAATTAAAACTATAGCGACTGAAAGTTCGACGCTAATCTGTTGCTAAGATGAACATTATAAATAAACCCAGAATTTGTAGTTAATTCGTAACGAATTTAAACACACAATTCTTATGACCTAAAAATTCATTTTTTTTTCATGATTTTTTGCGTGAAAGTTTATAACCATATAAGTATCTCTCACACAAAAATTTAATTTTTTATTTATTTGAGATGAATTAAATATGAATTTTTTTTAACACCGATTTTCTATGAAACGGAAACAACGCAAACGTCAACATATGATTGAGGTTTGAGATAATATTTTGCAGAGACCTATCTAATAATACATAAAATGGATCTGCAAAGTTTCATGACATTTCAAATAAGTCTCAATTTATTTTAATTTTTTGACCGAAACACATATAAATGTATTTTTTTTCTAGAAGCGAAAATTATTATTTTGACCTATAATTTTTTTAATGATTTTTTTTCATGAATGTTTATCACATTATGATGACCTCTCCCACAAAAATAGAAATTTATTTGACATGAGATAAATTAAATATGAATTTTTTAAGTGTCGGTTTTTTTATGAAACGGAAACAACATACACATTGGAATATGATTGAATTTAGAGCTAATATTTTACAGGGACCTTATAAGAATCTTCAAAGTTTTATGGCATTTCGAATAAGTAACGATTTATTTTGATTTTTTGACCGAGACACGTATATATGTGTTTCGACCAAAAAATCAAAATAAATCGATACTTATTTGGAATGTCATGACACCTTTCATATCCATTTTATGTATTATTAAACAGGTCATTACAAAATATTATCTCAAAATTCAATCATATGTCAACGTCTGCGTTGTTTCTGTTTCATGAAAAATATGCGTTAAAAAATGTTCATATTTAATTCATCTCAAGAAAAAAAATTCAATTTTTGTGTGTGAGAGATCCTTGTAAGGTTATAATCTTTCATGCAAAAAATCATGAAAAAAACAAATTTTAGGTCATAAGAATAATGCGTGTAAAATAGCTAGGAATTCGCTAGGAATTAGCTAGGTATTAGCAACAAATTAGCTACAAATTCTACGTTTATTTATGATGTTCATCATAGCGACAGATTAGCGTCAAACTTCTCGTTGCTATAATTTTAATTAATATAATTTTTTTTATAAAATGGAAAATTTTTGCCACGTGACATCTACATCATCATTTTTGCCACACTAGTATTGTCACATGTATGCTTAGTCATCAAAAAAGTTTCACGTGGCATGCCACATCAGCTTCTATTAACGACCATTAGATGGAGAGACTAAAAGTGTGGATGAAAATTTTTAGGAAAACCATTCTTTGAAGAAATTTTTTAGAAGGACTAACAATAAAATTTACAATATTAGAAAGGAGCAAAAACTTATTTAACCCTAAAAAATATTGCATTGTATGAAAAAATAATGTATACCCTGATACTTTTATTCATAAATTGAATCAATTTTTCTTCGGTATTACATTATAAAAGAAATGCAATGAAATAAAAATTGTGAGTCTTATTAAAATAAATGTTTTGGAGAAAATAATGTTTCACTTATTACATCATATGTTCTGAATACTTCAAATGAAATAAAAGCAAAGACTTACTGAGTTTCATGTTCCAGGTAGTACCTAGTATTTCAGAGTTTCTCTATCTCAGTTGGCTTTATTACGCATTTAAGATCTACATACTTTTCTTTCATTTCTTTTGAAACGACATTTAAATCATACTTTATGGCAACTTAGGGTTCAATCGCATATTCTTACACATGTGTCATTTCCATTATCTCATCGAGTAGGTCCATGGAGTTTATTAGGCCAAATCCCTCTCCCCCCCATTATGTGTTATGTGCGCTAACTTGAGATGTCATTTCCAACAAGGATCACAACATCTGATACATGTACCAACCTGAAGGGAATTTCCCTTGTTAAAGGGTGAGGTGTCGGGTGGTACGACCACAACACTTGATATAGTTCTTCAACTCACAACACATTTGTTTCATCAAGTTTATTCTTTATGTAAGATATGATTCATTTAAAAAGTGATTTTTCTTATTTGTTTCCCTAAAGGTGTTCCACTAAGATGAATTTGTTTTGTATTTTCAGGTTGTCACATAATTATGTTATCAACGAGCTTGTGAACTAGGTTCCATAATCTAATACTCTGTAGTGGAGAAGGTTGAACCCACATATGATCTTCTTCCATTGGAATTTTTGAAATTTCTCAACTATGATATGAGACACGAGTTCTGCTTCAACCGACTTCATAAAACAATTGACTTCCATAATTCAAAATTTTACTTCCCCTAGGGCCAATGGGAATGGAACCAAAACATCTCCACCCCACATGTAGAAAGATCATGGTGAAGATATTGAGTGTAAGACTTTGGTTGATTGGGATGAATTTTTGCAAACCTTTTATATTTTTAGCACTTTATAAGCATGATAACATAACCTGTACCCATACCCATCAGAACCTGTTCCGAAGTTGACGGAGAAAATCTATTTTGACTTGGTTTGAGTTTTTCTCGATTATAAAAAATAGAGACAAATTGGATAATGGGGACACTAGAACTCACCCAGAACCCGTCCCGTTTATTTTATTATGTACATTATTGTTTATTTTTGATAATTTAAAATATTACATATGTGGTTAATATTTTGATAATTTAATTTGTATTTATTATTTAAAATGTATGTTTGAAATTTTTTTAGATTGTTTTATTTTATTATTTGTAATGTAATTTAATTTAAAAATAAAATAAATATATCTATTAAAAATTAATAATTTCGATGGTGGCGGGGCGGAGATACTCAAACTCAACCTAAATTCGTTTGAGGCGGGTTTGAGTTTTAATTCTACGTCTATGTTTGAGTTTGGTGCGGAGAAGGAAAGTTGTTTAAGAATACAAATTTAAATTTGAAGGAGGTAAAAACCGTTTCTAATCCGCTGTATTGTTATGGCTAATACTTTATGAAAGAATTAGTGTTATCTTTGATTTTAATAGGCTTGTAAAATCACGCTTTTCTGAGTTTATTTGAGTTTATTTGACAAAGCTTTGCCATATATATGACTATCATATATTACTAATTACTCCATGGTCAGCGTTTATTATCCTCTAGGATTCTTCATTCCTTAGATATTCATGGGTGTAATTACTCACATTTTATATAGTTTGCTTGATATCGGAGCATAACTTGATTTCATTCTTTTTTTACTTTTTCAAATGATTTTAGTAGCGGTTCATTTTTATAATATCTTATAAGAGAGACTTCTTCGATGTCGTTAATATTCAATCCGTTTTAAAGTGAATATTGTTTAAAGTTTTTATATACAGATTAAAAAATACATTAATTTTGTTATAAGACATTATATTTTTATTAAATTAATCCTATTAATACTTGAAAATAATGTAAAAAATGATAATTAATAGATATAATTAAAAAATAACAATTATTTATATATTAAAAAATGAAAATAACATATATTTGAAAAAAAAATTTCATTTTACAAAAATGACAGTCGTTGAGAGAGTATTATTGTTGTCAAAACTTTGGTGCTTGAGGATCTTTGTTTGATATTCTTCAAATAACTCAATTATTGCAAGCTGAAAGTCACCTTTGAAACCTACGTCTTTGACCCCATTTATGTTGCTAAATTCATTGAGAAGATGAGGGTTTCATACTCAGTTTAATTGTTGTTTGCTTAAAACTCAAAATGGAGCCTATACTGAGTTAATACTCTTGTAATTCCAACATTACTCATGCACAACTTTCTTAGAGGTTTGATGCTGTGTCAAATGATATTGATCCAAATATGAACACCTCTCTAAGTAAATATTGATTTTCTTAAAATTTATTTTTAAAATGATTTTTATAAAAATGTTTTTTAAAATATTAAGTTGTTTTATTTTTCGTTATTTATGTAACTCAAGTACTCATTACTCAACCGATAAAGATGAATATTGTTAAGTGAAATACTAGTATTATTATACTAGAAAAATGTCAAAATAGATTTCACATAGTTAGTTGCGCGTGAATCATAAACATTATTCCATAAAAAATGGAAGAAAAACAAACTCAACGTGGAAAACAAGGTTTAGGAAAAAGCTGATTCACGGTATAAAAAGAAGCATTACTCCCACTCGCTTTATCACCCACTCTAAACTCAATTTTCTTTCCCTTCCAATTCCCAAGACGACTAAACCATCAAACAAACGCACACCGTCAAATTGACGAAACTTAAACTTTCAAAACCCTTGGTTTGAATATTCCAACATCAACACCATCGCAACTTCACAACACGCTTACATCACTCGCTTCGTTTCCCACCGCTCTTTTTATTCCCTCTCTCATTCCTTCTTCCAAACCCAATTTTTTAATTTTCTTTTCTCAACATCCACCAATTCCCAACCCTCATTCTTCATTTCTCTCCCAAAAAACCAAAACCCAAACCCTCTTATCTTCTTTCTACCCTTCACGTCTTAATCAAATCCACCTCTTATTTCTCGTCAATTTTCTCTCCTAATTATTCTCCAGCTATCGCTTTGTTTTTATATTACCTATAACACCTTTCTTTCTCTTATCATGCCAAACCCTCTAATTTGGGGTTTTTCTGCATTCCTGAACATGCTTTTTACTCCTATGTGGCTAGTGTTTTTCTTAGGGGTTATCGTTGGTTGGTTATGGAAACCAAATTGGGCTAGCTTGGGGAAAGATAAATTGGCTAGTTCATTGGCTAAGTCTTGGGATTTTGCTTCACCCAATTCTGCTTCTCCTGTGTTTTCACCTTTCAAATTTTTTTCTTCTTCTTCTTCTCCTTTTGTCAATTCTTCTATTACAATGCAAACCCCAAACCCTGATTCTTTGGGTATTAAGAAAGACATGAATAAAAAAGCTTCATCTTCTTCAACACCCACCAAATATGATAGTTCATCCAGGTTTTTTTTCTTCTTCATTTAATTAATAATTTTAGATGATTATTGATTTGGTAATTGCTACCTTTTTGAATTTTAGATGTTGAATCCTAATTAAATTAATTATTGTTTGATTTATGATGGTGATTTATTAGAAGGATAAAACTAATTTGGATAAGTTTGAATATTTGGGTTGGGTGAATGGTTTCATTGGCAATGAAAGTATGGTTTTTTGAAATTTTGGATATTTATTTGGAAATGTTATGTTATTGACTGGATTTTGACTTTGTTTGACCTTGCAGTACACCGAATTCTAGTGAAGATACGGCAAATGGTGTTACGATTGATGATTTACATCATTTATATAAGCTCGTGGAGGAGAAAGATGGAGGTCTTCCTTGGATACATATGATGGATCGGTCTACTCCAACTTTGAGGTACCAGGCGTGGCGTAGAGAGCCAAAGGTATGATAGATTGTGGTTTTGTTTTGAATGGACTATATGTATGATCTTTGGTTTGTTCGAATTGCTGATTTTTGTGTTGTTGATTTGATAGGATGGACCTCCCCAATATCGAAGCAGTACTATTTTTGAGGATGCGACTCCTGAGGTAGTGAGGGATTTGTTCTGGGACGATCAGTTTCGACCTAAGTGGGATGATATGCTTATTAACTCGACAACATTAGAAGAGTGCCCTACTACTGGAACAATGAAAGTGCATTGGGTTCGGAAGGTGCGAACCTCTTTACTTGATTAATTATTTGTCATTTTTTTTTATCTGTTTTCATTTGCTTATGGATGTTATTTATCTGTGTTACAGTTCCCCTTCTTCTGTAAAGACAGAGACTATGTTATCGGACGGAGAATATGGGAATGTGGGAGGTCATACTATTGTGTTACAAAGGTACTTGGAGAAACTGCACTTTTTTTTCTCATGAATATTTGAAGACATTGATTGAGAGTGGTTAAATTCTGCGCTGTATAATTAGTGTTCTTACATTTTTTCCTTTCTTTTAGGGGGTAGATTGTCCTTCAATCCCCAGACAAGAAAAACCCAGACGTGTCGATGTGTATTACTCTAGCTGGTGCATTAGAGCAGGTTTGTTTTGATAACTTTATTAATCAAGGTGTAATTTGCGCAAGAGTTTAATTTTAATGATCTTATGCTGTTTTTCTTGACAGTTGAATCAAAGAGAGGTAATGGTCAATTGACTGCTTGTGAAGTTTTACTCTTCCATCATGAAGAAATGGGAATTCCATGGGAACTTGCAAAGCTTGGAGTAAGAAAAGGTATGTGGGGAACAGTACAGAAGATTGAGCCTGGTTTGCGTGCTTATCAAGAAGCCAAAGCTTCTGGAGCCCCACTCTCTCGTTCCGCTTTCATGGCCAGTGTCAACACAAAAATAAGTCCCGAGTACTTGCAATCCGTTGGATCCTCTGATGATTTATCACAAATCGACAGTGCAATCACTTCTGACAAACCAAAAGGCGTGAACGTACCTAAGATGCTAGTCATTGGCGGTGCTGTTGCTCTTGCTTGTAGTCTTGATAAGGGGTTGTTGACCAAGTATCTTTTATTTGGTGTTGCTAGAAGATTTGCTAATATGGGTAAACGATAGTAGAACTAAAGGTGGAACCAATCTCTCGAAGGGATTCGGGTGTGTTGCAGTCACAAATTCACTCAGTCAGCGTATCAGTTCTCGTTGGTTCGAATCACACGTTCCAGAAAGAAAGTATTTAGCCGTCACTGTTGTGCTGATTGTGTGGAATTTGTGACTCTAGGCAATTCTAATCCCTGTTGAAGCCATTGTTTTGGATGTTCCACATTATCCGTTATAGTTTCCTTCTTACTATCACCTATAAATTAGGAGGCTCTTTTTTGGGTAAATAATCTATAAAAAAATAAAATCTAGGGGAAATGAGAAAATCTCGGCTTGTTGATTTGGGAGAAAATCTAGTTGATAATTTTTTTTAAAACTTTTTATTTATTTCTTAGACCATGAGAGTTGGTGAAGACCACAGAATTTGTAAACTTTGTATGGTTGTACAAACTTCTTAGCAATAAAGAATAAAGATACTCTATTTTTATCACTTCCACTCTTGTATTTTAATCATTGACATGGCAAATGTGTAAGCTTAAGCTATGCTATAATTGCAATAATCAATAGATTTTATTACTTTGTTCAATTTACTGATTTTATCTTGCAGCATGTCGCAACCGTGATTAACATAATTAAGTTCTTCCTCAATCACACAACTTTGTAAGATGTACGTAATTGGGTCACTTTTCATGCGACTCTCAAATGTTGATTGTGCTCATCAATTATGTGGTTTAGAAGAACTCCAATTGAGTGATGGAATTTGGCACTAACTTAAGCCAATCAAATCTTGACCAGAGTGGGACATGAATATCATTTTTCTTCTTTTGTTTTCTACCTATATGATACGACCTGCAACACCACCAAGTTCATGAATAATTTCTTATTTTGTCTTCGTTTTTGCTCTTCACATAATTTATTTTCTTTCCATGAGTAATGCTCTGCAAAAAAAATGGAAATTAAACACTGAACAATGACTGAATCAGATCAGATTGGCTAGCCTAATCGATTTACTTTACTTCAAATACGTATAATAATACACTTGGTGGGTTCGATTTTCATAGTTTTCTCTTTAGTAGCAAATTTACTTGAAGGCCCAATAATTCTTTTTGTTATTAATTTTTTTTTTATTTAACTCAAAATATAGCACTTTGAACTCTTCCATAAATAATTTGTTATTTTATTTTATTTTTTATATTGGTGTTCCCAATCACTCTTTTTAGAAATAATTAATTTATTGAATAACTACATACCAAAATCCAAATATATAAATTGTTGAATGAATATAAAAATAAAAATAAATCATTTTTTTTTACTTATAGTTACTCCAATGATTTTGGAGTATTTCTGGCCCAACTGTGTTATTATAATTTATATAAATAAATTAGTAATTTTTTTGTCAAATTATAATTATAGCATATTAAATATTCATTAGAAATGATAATAGCAATAACAACATTTAATATTGATTTAATTATTAATTTGAATCATTAAAGAATGAACCTTTTTAACGTGATGAGAGTTGTCCAATGATTTTGGAAATCGTAAGATCTAATGAATCTTTCACGATTCATTCACAAACATGGAATAAATAATATATCAAATTCGAAAATATAAAAAGAAAACACTAAAATTTGTTTTCAAAGGAATTCAAGCAGAAACCTTTAATCTACATTCTATTTGTTTATCACTTGGCCAATGTGTGACAAATAATTCCCATAATTTATAGTAATACTAAACAATTCTGAATTTTAAACAAAATGTTGTGAGACAGTGTCCAAAAAAATAGAGTATGATCAAACTTTTTATTAACAAGAAAACCACAAGTTAAGAGAAAAGAAAAAAGAAGAAGAGAAAGATAAATCAAAGTGGTTAAAAATTGGATTTTGTATTCAATTATACATTAGAGAACAATGTTTATAATTGAATCTCAACCACACAACTTTCTTTCTCTGATTAGGATTATCAAAGATTGTTGGAGAAGTGATGACTAGCATGACATTTATAAGAAAATTAAACCCTAACTTTCAACTAACATTCTAAACAATTGGCCCAACAGGCTGACCTAATTAAATATACTAACTTAAACAACAAGCTAACATAATTCGACAACATGTTTGAACAAACTTCGACTACAATATGCAGAACTTCGACTTCAACATAGCACTTCGACTTCGACAGAGTTTGCTACAACACTAGCTTATAACCCATAAGCTACAAATCTCCACCTTGGAACAAACTCTATACCTCAAAACCAACTAGTTGTAATCATACAGTTCCATCAGCTGCATACAGTGGAAAAACTTGGAACTTGACAATGTCTTGATGATCATATCAACAACATTGTCATCAATCAAAACCTTCAGCACTTGAATTTTGCCACGCTCGATTATCTCTCTAACGAAGTGGAACCTCACATCAATGTGTTTGGTTTGTTCATTATAGGCTAATTCTTCGACAGATGTATGACACTTTGACTATCACATTTAATAGTGATAACTCAACCTTGAAGTTTCATCTCCTAAGCAAAACCTTCAAGCGAAAATGCTTCTTTCATAGTTTCAGTGAGGGTAATATACTCTACCTCAGTGGTTCATAAGGCAACAACCTTCTGAATTATTTTTTTCCAACTAATTATTGCCAAACATAGTGTACATATCCAAAAATAGATTTTATGAAATTCATACAACCTGCATAATCAGAGTCGACAGATCCTTCGATTTCAACTTTACTATCATCACCACAGACTCCACCATAAATCAGGACTCTACTTAGAGACTCATTTATGTACCTTAGAATCCATTTCAATGCTTGTCAATGTGCATTCCCAAGATTGACCATATACCTGCTTACACGGCTCACTTTGTACACTATGTCTGACCTCGTAAATGCCATAACATACATCAAAGAACCTAATATACTATCATATGGAGTTATATTCATATAGGTATTTTTGAATTTGGTACTAGGACTTTAAGTCGTACTCAGTTTGTACCGAGGATTAGTTGGTGTTACTACAGGCTTTGCCAAATTTGTTGAGAATCTTCAATAGATATGTCTCTTGAGATAAACATAATCTCGACTGCTTTCCATCTCTGTGGATGTAAATCCCAAAAATTCTGGAGACATCTCCCAAATCCTTCATGTCGAACTCCTTATTGAGTTCAACCTACATTGTTTCTTGCTATGAGGATGTCATCAACATAAAGCAACAAAATAACAAGTCAATTTCCAGGTTGAAATCTGAAGTAAACATAATGGTCCAACTGCCTCCTATTGAAACCTATGTCTGACATAAACTTGTCGAATCTTCTATTCCATTGTTGAGGAGATTGTTTCAGACCATAAAGCAACCTATTCAGCTTGCACACATAATTCTCCTTTCCTTTTTCTGCATACCCTTAAGGTTGCCTCATAAGGATTATTTCATCTAGATCACCATACAAGAAGGTTGTCTTCATATCTATCTGTTCAAGTTCTAGATCAAACTTTGCCACTACGGCTAACAACATTCTAATGAATTTGTGCTTTACAACAGGTGAAAACACATCATTGAATTCAACACCTTCTTTCTGAGTGAACCCTCTAGTAACCAACATTTCCTTAATTTGCTTCGAAATCACCTTCGATTCCTTCCTTAACCTTGAAAATCTACTTATAGCTTACTAACCTGGCTCCAACAGGTTTCTCTAACAGCTCCAAAGTGTTATTATCATGAGGAGATTTCATCTCATCATCAGTGGCTTTTAGCCATTCAATCTTGTTTCGACTCCTCACAACTTCCTTGTAATCTCTAGGTTCTTCATCAAGGACCTCACTTGCAGATATTAAAACAAAAGCTATGAGATCTGCATAACCAAGTCTCTGAAGTGGCATGATAACTCTTATCGCCCTGTCTCTTACCTGCAGGTAGTCATTATCAATATCCTCATCTTCATCAACAACTTGTGTTTGATCATTGACTTCATCTGGGTTATACAATTCAACATCACTATGTTTCACCTTAATTTGAATCTCTTCCTGTTTCAGCTCTTCTTCAGAGATCTTCGAACTTCGACCAACATCATCAATTTTCTTGAAAGCCATCTCAGCTTCATTGAAAACTATATTCGAATTATGATACATCTTATTTGACTTGGCTCTAGGCACCACAACCTATAAGCTTTGACTCCTTCAGTGTATCCAAAGAACATACATCTCAAAGCTCTAGGTTCGGCCTTGTCTTACCTAATGTGAGCATATGCTACACAACTAAATACTCTAAATTTGTCGAGGTCTAGTGGATGACCTAGCCAAACTTCTTTACGTGTCTTCATCCCTAAGGCAGTCGAGGGGCACCTATTTATCAGGTATGGCGCAGTTGTAGTAGCTTCTGCCCAAAACACGTTCTTCAATCCTGCACTAACCAAGATGCATAATGGATCAATTAAACCTTTCACCCAAACCATTTTATTGGATAGTACATGCAGTAGTTTTGTGCCTTGCAATACCATATGCAACATAATAGTCGTCGAAGGTCTCATTCCAAAATTCAAGATTGTTGTCGGTCCTCAACCTCTTAACCTTCTTGCCAGTTTGGTTTTCGATCAGAGTCTTTCAAATTTAGAAATTTTCAAAAGTTTCACCTTAGCTTTCTAAATGATTACTCATAACTTTCTAGAATAACCATCAACTATGGATAAGAAATACTTTGCACTTGAGTGTGAAAGGTTCTTTGTAGGCCCCCAAAGATCAACATGAATGTAATCAAGGGAACCATGTGCTCTTTGTTTACCTTTGTTAACTTCACCTTACAGGATTTACTAAATACACAAGGTTCACAAAACTCTAGTTTTTCGACCTTGTCACAACATAGCAGATTTTGTCTCGACAACTCGATCAAACCTCTTCACTAACATGGCCAAGTATCTTGTGTCATAACTCAGTCTTCGACACAATTTTTGTGGATGCCACTCTGTTGAACCACTTACAACCTTAGCCTCAAGGGTATACAAGCATTGCCTCTTGATGCCTATCAAGACTTCATTTGACCCCTTCAATACCCTTAGGATACTTTGCTCTCCTTTGAACACATATCCTTTCTTGTCGAATTCACCAAGAGAAATAAAATTCCTCTTAAGTTCTGGTACATACATAACATCAGTCAATAGTCTTATTGACTCATCATGGAGCTTGAATCTCACAGATCTAATGCCGGTAATCTTGCAGGCTTTGTTGCTAACAATACCGATCCATCATCTGGATCACATAATTCCTCAAACACGTCTTTATTTAGAATCATGTGCCAAGTACACCCTAAATCCATAATCCACTCCATAATTAATATGTTCCAAGGTACCTCGATTCAAAACCCCATTGGTGCAAATTTTTTTAATTTTTTAATTCGTAATTGTTAATATTACTACAAATCATGAGAATTATTTATCACTAATGTATGTTGGCTTAGTGGTAAAGCTAGGATGTTGCTTAAAGGTTCTTGGGTTTAATTCTTTTTGGAAGAAATTTTGAACTTTTTTATTTATTTATAAATATTTTCAATTATTTAACAATAAAATTAAAATAAATAATAAAATTTAATGTGATTATTCAAGTAATTAATAAAAAATACATGTGACATAAATAATACACATTAAAAAATATATATGTTACAAGAATAATACACATAAAAGCTCAGTCGCGATTCAAAGATTAAAAAAAAAAATTTTAAAAAAATATTAATAAAACGATTAATATAACCCTATTAAATTTTCTAAAAAATTAAATAGGATTTTTATTTTTCTCGGGATTAAGTTAGATTCTATCATTTTTGTGAGTTCTCCCTCTTTAAAAAAAACAGAAATTGATGACACTAAATTTAAAATATTGTTTCATTTGTCCTTTTAGCTGCAAAATCAACCATCATTTATAATTGATATTTTAAATATATATATATATATATATATATATATATATATATATATATATATATATATATATATATATATATATATATATATATATATATATATATATATATATATATATATATATATATATATATATATATATATATATATATAGAGAGAGAGAGAGAGAGAGAGAGAGAGAGAGAGAGAGAAATAAGTTAAATTTACTCAAATTTTCTTGTTATTTTTAGTACATCAACTACTAGAATTAAATATATTTGAATGAATTTGAATATATATTAAAAATATTAATTTAAATTAAATAGTTTAAAAATGTTAAATTTTACTTATAATAATGACTAATGTTTAAGGTGATTTTTTATTTATAAAATAAACAGAGCAACTTTTGTTCTTTTTCCTGACAAATTGGTTATAATTGATATTGTTAAATATATTTTCCTTCAAAATGTTTATTTCCTTCCGTTATTATTATGAAAAAATAATTAATTTTCTATTGATTAAGCAAGTTTACTTAACTGTAACTAATTTTTTATATTTCTTTTAAAAATAAGTTAGATTTACTCAAATTTCTTTGTTAACTTTTAGTACATCAACTACTAGCATAAAATATTTTTGAATGAATTTATATATATATATATATATATATATATATATATATATATATATATATATATATATATATATATATATATATATATATATATATATATATATATATATATATATATATATATTGTGAAATATTGTGTGAATATTTATTGTGCAGGATACAATATGAACGTTTACGTTAAATAAATTGAAGAAAGAAAAAGCTTATTTCCGCACAAACTAATTCATCACAATGGTTTCAAAACAATGCAAACCATCAAGCTGTGGTGCCATTTTCGGATGTTGAATTGTCTTCTCTTGATCTTTCATTTTGTTATTGGATACTGAAAACTCTTTTTTGATTTCCTACATATAGTAAAACATATATTGAAATTCATGTATATTCATGTAAAGTAATGCATAAACATTTATTTCCTTCGACGTAGCATAATGTTGTTCAATGTGTCACATAGAGCAATAATAGATAGAACCATTTCATACCTTTATATGGTTTGTATCTATGAAATAAAATCCAACAGCGGCAGCAAGAGCAGGCACAGCTACATAAATACTTCCCGTAGCCATTGCCTGCACCCTTGAAAGTTGAAAGCTTACTTAACATTTAGCTATCTAGCAACAATTTATGGCAAGGGTGAAGAGAGAGAATATGCCTTGGCAATGAAGAGAAGCAAGCACAAAAAGTGGTCATAAAGTGAGGATATGGGATTGCATTGTCTTTGAACAAAGTGAAAGGGAAACTTGGAATGACAGGAACTTAGGAATTACTAATATCAAAGAAAACCTTCCTTTATCTATGTTACTTGAGTGCCAAGCCACTATTTTCCCCAAGCTTTAAGAAATCACATTCTTATTACTTGATTATGAGACCCTTAGGCTCCAAAACTTTTTGTTTATATATTTCCCATCTCGGCAGTGTCAATATGGCTAATTTAAAACTCGATCTAATTTATAATCATCCATAACTCGAAAAATATGTCAAATATTAATAGAAAAAATAGATGTTTTTAAATAGAAGAGAGTTGATAAACTATTTGTCGCCCTTTTAAAGGATAAGGAAATATTGCCAAGCAAGGTCATAAAAGTCCATATTATTTTTGGATGTCATACTAACTCATGTAGAAATTTCAGACACCGTACAAAAGGAAACAAGGGAAAGATGTTTGGTGTTCGAGAACAAACTCATATATACTATGAAGTTAGATAAAGACCCTTTTTAGGTCTTTGCTAACTATGCAAAGTCCGACTTTAGACTATGTATGATCAAAACAAATTTAATAACAAAATGAAGATATTAATAACGTCAAAGGAAAGTTTGGAGAATACTCACAAAACAAAGTCCACTCCCAAGCTAGAGAAATATTGGTAGAAGTCCTTTAGAAAAAAGTACACTCGGTCATTCTTTTCATAAGGTGTAGTCTAGTTTTCAATAAACCTGCTGCAATGGAAGGTGATATCACCTTGGATAAAGTCCATACAACTGTGATATACAATGAATTATCAAAGATGAAAGATTTGAATGTTGAAGTTAGTGGTGAAGGCTTGAATGTCTCAAAAGGATGGAGTAAAATAGATGAAACCAAAAGTGAAGAGATCCATGTCAAAGTCCAAGTCCAAGAGTTTTGATAATTCAAAGTTAAAATAATTTAACTGTTCATAAAACTAGCCACTTCAAAAAAGATTATCTTGAGATATGGTATGATATATTTCGTTCAGATTGTAGTTGTCTCATGTGAAGATGGTCATGAGAGCGCAATAACGCTAATGGTGATAATTTTGGAGACAAAAAAAGAGTTGGTTCATAGATTCAAGTTGTTCTTATCTCATGTATCCAAGAAAAGAATACTTTGAGACTCTAAAGTTGAAAGAAAGTGGAATAATTTAACTCAGTAACAATAAGGTTTGTAAAGTTCATGATAGTGGTACAACTTGACGAAAATGTTCGATAAGCTTGAGTTACTTCTACGCAGTGTGAGGTATGTTCCATAGCTTCAGAAAATTTTGTTATCCATCACCATGTTCAATGATTCAGGCTATTGCACTAAAATTGAACGCGACGTGTTGAAATTTTTTAATGATAAATTGGTTATGAATAAAGGATCTATAATGTGTGGGTTGTATATTTTAGTTGGTTTTATTGTTATTAGTCAAACATCATTAGCTAGTTAAGACTTTCATGACAAAACCAAATTATGACATTTGAGATAACAATTTGTTAGTGAAATAGGTTTCATTGATCTAGCTAAATAATGTTGACTAGAGAGTGAGCAATTGAATAAACTAAAACTTTGTGATAATTTTAGATTAGGAAAACAACGCAAGGTGAAGTTTGGGAATGACATGTATAATTTTAATATGTTATTTGAGTATGCAAACTCAGATCTATGAGGTCTAACAAGAATGACAACTTATGGGATGGTTATTATTTTTTTGCTATTATTGATGATTTTTATATACGAGTATAAGTCTACATTTTGAAAAACAAAAAGTGACACCTTTAAAAAGTTCAAAGAAGGACATATTTTTATAGAAAATTAATTGTGAACTAAAGTGAATATGTTAAGAATTGAAAATGGCATGGAGTTATTTATTACAATTTAATGAGTTATGCAGAAAATAAGGTATCAAGAGGCATATAACCATTATTGGATCACCTCGACAAAATGGCCTAGTTAAATGGATGAATATGATCATTTTGGAAAGGTTAAGGTGCATGTTGCTGGAGCTAAGTTACCAAAGAGCTTCTAGGGTGACATTATTACTACAAAATCTTACTTGATTAAAAGATGCCTGTCAATGAGAATAAATTTTAAGACACATATGAATGTTTTAAGTGAGAAACAAATAGACTATTCTAATTTAAAGGTCTTCGGAGCTTTGTCATTTGCACATATACAACAAAACAATCTTAATGTTAGGATTGTGAAATATGTCTTCATTGGTTATCCTAAAAGTATGAAGGATTCAAGCTGTAGAATATGGATCCTGGAGGATCCATATTTATCATAAGTAAGGATGTTAATTTAAATGAAACCCGTATGAGAATGAAGTGCAAAGACCTGGAAGTGATATATATATATATATATATATATATATATATATATATATATATATATATATATATATATATATATATATATATATATATATATATATATTAAAATTAAAATACATCCATTTCTATTTAATAATATAAATAAATAATATCTATAAGGCTTAATTAATTCTCAGGTCCGTTAATTTAAAGTTTTAATTTGGTTCTTTATTTAATAGATATTACTTTTTAGTTTTTCAAAAACTATTCTGTTAGTCAATTTAATTATTTTTGTTAACTTTTAACTGTAAATATATTACGTTAAACAATATTGAGTGTTCATCATAAATTTTATTAATTTTTTTTTAATATCAATCATTCGATCATTTTAATAAATTTTACATCTTTAAATTTTAATGGTCTATTAATTTTAGTAAAATACCATTAACACATAATATATATTCTTTTATATATCTTCATCTTTTTCCTCTTTCTTCATCTTTTAACAAAGTTTTAAAAAAAATTCAGATATTTAAAAAAAGAAAAATTCTTTTGATTCTTTTGTTAAAATAATAACAATCAAGTAAGTATATCCACAACCAAAATAAAAAAAAAACTTAATATGTTAACTCATTTATCTCAATATCTCAAACATTCAAACAACAATTCAATGTTGAGTATTTTTTCTCAATTAATGATGTTTTAGTTACTTGTCAATAGAGGTCGCTACTACAAAACACGCAAACATCAACAGGTTTACAAAGGATTCATATACACCGTTGTAATAGGTTAAAATTTTCGCGCCCAGTGAGTAGCTGGATTTATAAACAGTAATTTAATGACAGTTGTCTTAAAACACCGTAGTAATAAATGATGTGTAGCAAGCTTCGATTCTCAACAACTACATTTTTTCCATTTTTTATAGTACATTAAAAGTGTGTCACTTAAGTCAATTATTTAAAAAACAAATTGTAAATGATTTTACAACAGTGAAGTAAACCAACCGTTGTAAAATTTGAAAGTTATTTAACCACTATTTTACAATACAACCGTTGTAAAATAAATTGCAAAAAAAAATTGCTTCGCGGTTTTTCTTTCTAACCGTGATGAAAAGTGATATTTTTTAGTATATAAGCAAAAGTATCTATCATTCAGTACATACCAGCCGTTTCTCTCAAAACAAAATCCTAACATATTTTATTGTTCTCTCTCATAACATAACCCCTAACATCCATGTCACCTTTTAAACATACTTCAACCTTCAGATACGTCTTCAAATTCGTCTTCACCAATCGCTAACTTGAGGTTCGTACATTAAACTTATGCTTCGATTTTGTTTACGTTTCTTGTTAAAAACATGTTCTCATTTTTTCATTTGGTGAATGTTCTCATTTTTTTAGATTCGTCTTAACAAAGCACATACTTTGGCTATGATACATATGGTTTGTGTAGCTATGAAGAGAAATACAAGAAGTGTGAAGCTATTGTGTAAACTTTATTCACCTTATATTTCTTCTTCATAGCTTCATAAACTAGATGAACTTCATAATTTGTTCAACATCCACGATTAATTTTAAAAAAAGGTGTATCTCAAAACATTAATGTTGTGGTTTTTGTTTATTATATCTTGCGTTTTTTATCCTTTTGAATTGTTTTTCGTCTTCTTTTCCCCCCAGTCACTGTTCGTCTTCTTCTCACCCAGTTTCTTCAAGTTTCCGTAAAATCCTTCCATTAAAATTCGCAGCAGTCCGGTTGTAGCCATAGAAGCAGGTCCTCAAGTCGTTCAAGATACGTATGCAAGTGTGGTCTCGATGCTTCGTTGATGACGACATGGACCGATTCGAACCCAGACCACCGTTTCTATGGTTATGGGATGTATAAGATTCAAGGATACAAAAATGCTCTCACTTTGCTGGTTGGATGAGGAGATGGATCCTAGGGAAAAATAATAATTTCTTCACTGGTAAAGAACTTGAATGAGGAGAAGGAGATGGTTAACACCTACAGTGCCAAGGAGGACGAATTGAAGTTGACGGTGTAGATCCTGAAGAAACAGTTGCAGATTACCTGGATTTTCTTATTTGTAGTGTTCATTGCATTTGTTGTAACAACAATGACGAAATATGTTATAGTTGATTAGGTTTGTATGTTGACTGATGGTGTATTGAATATGATACAATTATGTGATATTATGAATATGATACAATTAATTTTATTATGATAACTTTATCGCAAATGTGAGTTGTATTTTCTGCTGTGATATGGTGAACAATAATACAGGTTAAAAAATGGGATTAATTATAAAAGCAGGATAATATTTATTAATTCTGCAGAAAATTTAACAACGGTTATATATCATAATCGTTATAATATCTCGCGCGCTGACAAAAAAAAATATTTTTATCACAACAGTCTTTTGGAAAACCCGTTGTGATAGGGCGCACGATTTCCAATTTATTACAATGGTTATTGGGCCGTGATTGTAAGTATCATATATACAACGACACTCTACATAACAACGCCTGAACTTGCGCGATTATATATCTTTCCCAACCGTTGTTAAATAGATTTATGTAGGAGTCGGTGTTCATGGGTGCGGGTCGACCCACGAACCCGTTGACCCAAACCAAACCAACACATAAATTATCCGAACTCATTTATTTATGAGTATACCCAACCCAACCTATAACAACTTGTATAGTTTTGGGTCGGGTATCAGGTTTGAGTTTTGCAACTCACATACCCATTAATCCAACCCATTGATGTGGCTTTAGTAATTTCTTATTATTCTCCACTAATAATACTACTAGACAAATGAGTTTACGTAATTCTAATTTTAAATGCTGTTTCTTATTTTCTTTTGTATCATTTCCAACTTACCTATTTTATAAAAATAACGTGTCTTGTTGAATTTTATACTAATACCAAATGTTATGTTGTGTAGATGAATTTTATTAGATATTATATGATGTGTTTCATCAAATTTGAGTGTTATAAATGAGTATAATTGTATTGAGTTGTGTTACATTTTTTTAAACTGAAAAAAATAATCATAAAAAAATATATTTTTTATTTGAAATACAACCCTCGAACCCAACCCAACCTAACTCATAAATGAATGGGTCAGTTCAGGTCGATTTTGACAATACAATTGCGGGTTGGACGATGAACCCAACCCATTGAAGTTTGAACGGGTTGGGTAATGGATTAGGCCAAATCTATTCCAACCCAACCCGCGTACACCCCTACTTGTCAATTGTTCATTTCACAAATGTCTTTATGGTGTTTTTTTTTTCTGTTCATACAATTTTTCATTAATTTATTGATGCATCAGGTTAACTCTGTAGTGTGGCATATGTTTGAGATAGATGCATAATTAACTTGCAATATTACATTTCAAATTGCAAGAGACAATTTTTCAAACACTTCAATGAATGTTCAATGTTATGCATTAGATTAATAAAAAAATTCTTTTTGTTTTCTAAACCAGGTATTGTTGTAAATTTGCAAGAAATGCTTTTGGTGAAATGTTCATACATCAGTCTTGTTAATTAATGGATTCTTAAAGTATTGGAGATTTTGACATAAATGGAGATAAATGTAACAATTCATTTTTTATTCTGATTTCTTTTGTTGTTTTAATGTTGGACATTTTGAGAATAGAGTCAACATATCAAGTTTTTTTATATTTTTATTTTGATTGTATATATGTTTGTTTGGTTGTCATTATTTTAACAAAATGAGTCAAAAGTGTAAATTATTTATTATTATATTTTTCTAGAATTTTTCTTAAATTTTGTTGAGTAAGAATGAAAATGGTGATGAAGAGGATGAAGGTGTATAAAAATTATTAGGTGTTGTTTCTTGTGGATCGGTTTTACCATCAAAAGATACTAATGTTGGCGACTTAAAGTTTTATGGGACTTGATCGTCCTATATAGCTTCTAACAAAGGCTGGTAATCCAGAGACTTCTCATTTGCATCTCCTTCCTGTTGACTTTGTGTTTGCAACATTTGGACGCTATCTTGTAAATTCTCATTTTGCTGACGAAGAGCCTCCACCCCAGCAAGCAGTTGGATTATATCTGGTGACGGAGGCGGATCACTTCGGTTGGGAGATGATCCAGACATTGTACAATTGGGTTGCTAACGATGTTAAAAAATTTGTGTGGCCTATGCAAGTTTTACCGGGCCCCATGGTGGGCGCCAAATATTCTTGTAAAAACACTAAAAGGTTGACTTCCTCAATCATCACAATCACCATAACCAGTCATCTAAGATTTTCCTCGAGTTGGAATGATAAAGTCAACCTTTTACTGTTTTTAACAAGAATAATGTTGATGATGTATTGTTAGAATCAATAAACCATCAAGATTTAAAGGTGTAGAATTTGTTAAAATAATCAAATGGTTAATATTGAAAAAATTAATAATGTCTATGGTGAACACTAAACAATATTGACTTACATAATATATTTAAAGTTTAAAATTAACGGAAATCATCAAATTGATTAACGGAATAGTTTTTAAGGGATTACAAAATAACTTTTATTAAATAAGAGATCAAAGTGAAATCTTAAATTAAGTTAAAGAATCAAAAGATGCATTAAGTCTATGTATAAATATATACATAGACTTAATTATCCACTAAAATAAATAGATATGTGTACGAGTACATGTATCTAAGTATCTAAGCATATTTATACATAGACTTAATGCATCTTTTGAATATTCTCTAAAATAAATATATATGTGTACGAGTACATGTATCTAAGTTAGATATGTGCACGAGTACATGTATCTAAGTATCTAATTATCTAAGCATATTTATACTTAGATATGAATATGGACACAAATAATTATCCACTAAAATAAATAGACATGTGCACGAGTACATGTATCTAAGTATTTAATTTGTCTCATGAATGCGCTTCAATCTTCATTCAAAGCATTTTCACTCACGAATTCTCTCTAATCGAGAATTCACTTGTGTTCTTCCCTAATTCCTTCTCCAGAATTCACTTCAATCTTCACTCAAAGCCTTAGCGAAGAGGAGGAGAAAAGAAATGGAAAAAATTCCTTCAGCAACAGCGAAAAGCAATGGAAAAAATTCCTTCAGCGACTGCGAAAAGCAATGAAGAGGAGATGTTTTGTCTCAGGTATGCATTATTTTGTCCCCCATAATAGAAACATGTCATTTTCGTTTTAGAGTTTGTGTTTTTTTTTGCACGTGGTGGTCCTAGTCGTTTTAGGGTTTGTGTTCCTTTGTCGTTTAGGGCTTGTGGTCCCATTTGGGTTATGTTGATTTGTGTGTTAATTTGTCTGACTTGTATTTAACATGTATTCCAGGCCATCACAAACTCAAAAAATTAGGTTTAGAGTTTATCATAGAGGTTATTTTATGGACAACCCTGTGAAACTGTATGTTGCTGGGTTAATTTCAGAAAGGAATTGGAAATGGGATGTTGAGTACCTGTCCTATTTTGAGTTGTTGGAATTGATTAAAAAAGAGGGGTATAGAGGCATTATGTGTATTTGGTATTGGAACCCTAGGTTTATTTTTACTCATGGCCTTAGAAAGATTAACGACGATGGTGATATGTTGCAACTAATTAGAGATGCTGATGGATGTGAGATAATAGATTTGTATGTTGAGCATAGTATAAGTGAACTTGACATTGTAGATGTTGCAGAAGTAGGACATGACATAACTTCTGATGATGATGAGGTTCAATGTACCGGTGAGAAAATTATTGATGATGAGGTGGAAGTAGACAATAATGTTGAAGTAGGTGATAATGTTGAAGTGGGTGATGGTGCTGAAGTAGGTGATGGTGTTGAAGTGGATAATGATGCTGAAGTAGGTGATAGTGTTAAAGTGGATAATGATGCTGAAGTAGATGACAGTGTTGAAGTGGATAATGATGCTGAAGTAGGTGACAATGTTGATGTGGATAATGATGCTGAAGTAGGTGATGATATTGATGACAATGAACTTGAGTTGGATAGTGAAACTGAGTTGGAGAGTGAACCTGAGTTGGATTAGGCAACTGTAATTCCAACTGAAATAATTAAACCACATGTCAATGACAATGACTTTCACCATGATAATGGTGAAGATTCTGACCAACTATAGACACCACCTGAGAGTGAAGATGATGAAGAGTATGAGAGGTTTCCTTCCTATAAGGTTGGTGAGGGAACCAAATTTCAATTAGGCATGATATTTAACAACAAGGATTTGGTAAGGGAAGCCATAAAAGAGTATTCTATGATGGAAAAAAAAGAATGTGTATCTAAAGAAGAATGATGCAAAGAGGATGTTTGTTAGGTGTACTGATGAATGCAAGTTCTACATGATTGGTAAAAGGATTGGTAACCAATATTGGCAAGTGGTGAGTTTATATGATGAGCATAATTGTCATAGAACAGCCCAAAAGAGACAAGCAAAAACTGGATGGTTGGGCAAGCAGTTTAGCCATATACTAAGGCATACTCCTAATATGAAACCAACTGGACTAGTTGTTTTGGCATTTGATAAGCGGGGTGTCAAACTATCATCTGACCAGGCCTATAGAGATAAGAGAAGAGAAATGAATATTATTCAAGGTGCAGGAAGGGACCAATTTACACATCTAAGAACTTATGCAAATGAGCTACTTAAGTCCAACCCTCATAGTAACATTGTGTTGAAATGCTCAGGTTCTAGTGATGGCCCAATTTTAAAGAGAATATACATTTGTATAGAGGCATGCAAGGCTGGTTTTACTTGTTATTGCAAACCACTTATTGAACTAGATGCTTGTTTTTTAAAAGGAGGCTACGATGGGCAGTTGATGGCAGCTGTAGGCAGGAATGGAAATAACCAGATATTTCCAATTGCATATGTTGTTGTAGAGGCATAAACTTAGGACTCTTGGGAGTGGTTTTTAAATACCTTACTTGAAGACTTGCAAGGCATAAATTAAAGGGAGTATGCCTTCATTTCAGATAAGCAAAAGGTAGATCACTATTGTTTTATATTATTTTCCTACGTATGCTTATGTAAGTTGTATACAAAGGTTAACTGCATTGACTTGTAATTAACACGGTCTTGTCCCAGCTGTCCAAGGCTTGAGTGAGCATGTGGAATAAAGATTATGTGTGAAGCATTTGTATGGCAATTGGAAAAAGTACCCTAGTTTGGAATTAAAAGAGGCTTTATGGAAATCAAAAGCTACAACTATTCAAGGATGGGAGAGGGAAATGTTGAGGATTAAGGCTTTAAATGAATCAGCTTGGAAGGATATGAAGGAGGTGCCAACATAATATGAGGGAATGCTGCAAGAGCTACAACTATTCAAGGATGGGAGAGGGAAATGTTGAGGATGAAGGCTTTAAATGAATCAGCTTGGAAGGATATGAAGGAGGTTCCAACATAATATTGGAGTAGGTCACACTTTAAGACATATACTAAGTGTGACCTTCAGGTAAATAATATGTGTGAATCCTTTAATAGGACCATCCTAGAATATATGGACAAACCTATTAGCACCCTTTTAGAAGGGGTGAAACATTACTTGACTAAGAGAATCACTAACCGAAAGGAACTCATGGTAAAATATGCCGGTAATGTGTGTCCATGAGTTCAGTTAGCTCTAGAGAAGACTAAGAAGTTTGCTGAAAGTTGGACTCCAACTTGGCATGGTAATGATGACATGGCCATTTTTGGTGTAACTAATGGTATATAAACTTATTGTGTCAACATCAAAGAAAGTACATGTGCTTGTAGGAAATGAGACTTAATTGGGATCCCTTGTAGCCATGCCATAACATGTATATGACATAACAAGAAACATCCTGAAGAGTATATTTATGAGTATTCTCCAGAAAACATACTCTCACATCATATATCCTACAAATGACCCTCAACTATGACCTGTAGATGGTACATTAATTGTCAAATTCACTAGTGATGAGAAGGGAAATTGGACGTCCAAAAAAGCTGAGGAACAAGAGCAATGATAAACCAAAGAATCCACATGTTCTACCAAGAAAGATAGCAACTGTCACTTATACAAAATGTGGATCTATGGGGCATAATAAAGAACATGTAAAGGGAAGAGAGCAGCAGATAGGGTCATGCAAAGGGAGGGAATAAGAAGCAAAAAATTACAATGGGAAAGAGCAAGGGCAAGGGCAAGAAGACAAAGACTGCATCACAGGGACCACCAGCTACTCAAGATTAGGACTTATGTATTTTGAAGTATTTTATGTAATGGTTAAGACTTATGTATTTTGGAATATGTAATGGTTAAGACTTATGTATTTTGAGTTATGTAATGGTTAAGACATAAGAATTATGTATTATGAGTTGAACAAGCTGTACTGATATTTTGAACAAGTTATAATGAATTTGATATGTTACCTAATGACTGGAATATACTGATATTTTAAACAAGTTATACTGTTATCACATTATAAGCCAACTTTATAGGTATGTTATTTTGAACAAGTTATAACATTATAAGCCAACTTTATAGATCTGTTATTTTGAACAACTTTACAGGTTTGTTATCACATTATAACATTATAAGCCAACTTTATAGGTATGTTATTTTGAACAATATCATAACCGTATAACATAACATATACAACAATAACATTAAAATATAAATTCAACTTAACAATGTCATAATAGTGTCAATTAACATTACTTTCTTATCATAACAGTACATTACAAACCTAACACTTTAACAAACCTAATACATTACAAAACTTAGCAATACTTAACAACCAAACACTTAACAAACCTAACACATTACAACTAAACACAAACAATACAAATTAATGTATTACATTTGATACAACCAACCCAATTAACAACACTAATGTCATTCTCATGGTAAACTTGTTCATCACCTTCAAATACTTGATCTTCAACTTCAGTTGGTCTTCTCTGACAATGGCTTCATTCAACTTAACCTTTTCTTGGTTTAATTTTTGATGCATTGGAGATATTACTTCCTTGGCTCGTTGAGACATTTCTTCATCATACCAGACAAAGTGACTACATCTCTTGTATCTCTGATTCTAGACATATACATGAATAAATTAGGGATTTTCTGGAGAAAACGAATTTGAGGATTTTCAAGAAATATACATGAAACTAACCTTGTACATCCCACATCCAAAAAAATGATGACCTGAGTTTTGATCAGTCCACGCCGTCATCAATGTAGAAGGAATACCACACTTGCATTCGACGTGATTGGAGCGGGACACATTGCGATTACTTGATACTGAATATTCGGACATGGTCGCTAAGGCTTTGGGTGAAGATTGAAACGAATTCTGGAGTAGCAATTGGGGAAGAACACAAGCGAATTTTAGAGAACAATTTCTAGGGTTCACAGATTGCAAATGGGGAATAAGACATATGTCTTTTATAAACTTTTTAAATCAATTTGTTTAATTAAAAATGTTTTTTATTTTAAATGTTTAAAAAAATAAATATAATATATTTTAAATAACGTGGCAAGTTATTTCTAGCCTAGGTCAATATTTTACTGTGCCACATCGGCATTGACCATGCCGCATAGCCCAAACTTAAGAGGGGACCAAGAAAATCTCATGATAATTTAAAGTGAGAGACTTAAAAGCTAATTTTTTTAAGGGGGCTTAAAAGTATAGGAAAAACGTAACTTAAAGGATTAAAACTGCATTTAAGTCTATATTAAAATTGATGTGGCACGAGTTAAGACAGGACAATCGATCAGTTTGCATTAATTTGACATTCAAAATTTAAATTCAATCTAAACTACGATTTTATTTTAAAGATCCAATTTCTAATGATAAAATTTTGATTTTCGAGGATTCAGTTAAATATATTTGGCAGGTAAATTTGATGTATTTGGTCTAAAAAAATTGTTCATTTTTTATTTATTTATAAAACTTTCAAATATTCATTTTTAATTTTTTTTAAACTACCAAAATTTTAGAATAGTCAAATGAAGAAGTATATTTTTATCATTGAAAAAATTCATTATTACGTGATAACATTTTAAATATTATTTAATGTTAATTTGAGAATTATTATACTTGAAATCATAAATTAAATAATATTCAAAAATTTATATTACATGTATTATATTTTTACGAGTACACAATATATCATTAAATTAAATAATTAAAAATAATTTAACAATATTATAAATCTCACTATAAATCCTTATAGTCATAAAAATAAATAAATAAAATATTAATTGAGTTCGATTTTTAACGAGTCTACAATTATTTAACTTTGATCGAACCAATTTTATATTAATCAAATTAAACAACCAGCGTGTGTTTGGATTAACTTTTTTCCATACCACCGCGCGTTTGAATATCATTTTACTTAGTATTTTATTGTGAAAATCAAAAGCTACAAAATGTAACTTGTGAATTTTCGCCAAATCAAACGCATGCTTAATCTAATATCTGATATAACTCAATTCGTTTGCGCAAAAATAACAATGGCCCAGTCGGTTTCAAGAAACTTTAAATTTTTTCATACATAATACGAGTGGTGTCTAAGTAAGTACAAAAATGATGAGATAAAAATTCAAGATGAGAAAGTGCAATCATATTGGCCGGAGATTCTATTATGCTATGCGTTTGATAGTCACATCAAATTGGCAATGGAAAAGGAGTAAGGGGACACTACTACACTCAAAACACATGCAATGATGCAATGCATGTGATGATGGTTTTAGTTGAAAAGAAATTTGTGAGAAGAAATTTCAACACATGTTTCATATGCTAAGTATGCTATTATTGGTGCCATTTATCTATATCTATCTATATTAAATAAAACTATAATCCTTAATTCTTCTATCAATTTTTTCCCTCCAAAATCTCATTCTCTCCCATTATTCATTAATAATAAATTAATAATTAATCAAAAATATAGTAATGACTAGGGCTGGCAATGAACCGAACCAACTCGAAAATAGTTCGAAATTCGATTCGACAATTAGATCGTTGAACTAGGTTCATGAACCTAATGAGTTGAGTATGAGCGAAAAATTAAGTTCGTTAACTAAATGAGCTGAACTTGAACTCTACATAGTTCGACTCGTTAGGTTCATGAGTTAACTCGATTACATATGAGAATAATTATACTGTCTTTAAGATTAGGTTTAAATATTTAATCTAAATCTTAGACAAATTTAATCTTCAACTTAGTAGTTTTTGAATTAGACTCTCAAATGTATCTCTTGAAAGTTGTGTAAATTTTGAATTAGTAGATTTCGAAGATAAAGTTAAATTTCAATATGATAATTTTTATTTTATTTTAATATTTTATTTTAAAAAAAATATATTTATTTAAAATGTCAAATATACTAAAATATATATATATTAAAAAAAATAGTTTTTAAGCCCGTGAATCATGTGAGCTGATCCTAATGAGTTGAACCAAACTGTTCGTGAACTTATAACAAGTCGAGTTTGAACTTAAAAAAAAGTTCGTGTTGAACTCGAACTCGAACTCGAACTCGAAACAATTCATAACGAGTCGAGTTTGAGCTTAAAAAAAAGTTCGTGTTGAACTCGAACTCGAACTCGAACTCGAAAAATTCTTAATGAGTCGAGCCGAGCTGAGGTGAGTTCGACTCGACTCGACTCATTTCCAGCCCTAGTAATGACTAATAAATCTCACTAATTTCATCCCATTAAATCTATTTGTTATTCTCTTAATAACTTCATCCTACTAACTAATAATAAATAATTAATTAAAAAATAGAAATAAAATTAATAAATAAAGTTAATACTA